CAAGAGAAAGAAGCACTGATGTGAGACTGAAATTCAATTGGCTGCCTTCTGCACTCCCTCATCAGGGATCCAGCCCAGAACCCAGGGCCCAGGAATCAAACAGGCAACCTTTTGGTACATGGGACAATGCTCAACCAACTAAGGCACATTGGGCAGGCTTCCATCCCTTAAACTCCCTCAATTTCTAATTATTTAATGTCTAATTTACATTGAGAGGATCTTCTTTTCTAAAATCTATGGTTATACAACCAGATTATCTTAAAAGTCCTTAACTGAGGCTTCTAACTTTATCCCTTCATAACATTAGAATTATTCCAGTTAGGAAGGATAATTCATAATAAAGATATACAGATAAATACTCCAATAATTTGAGGTCTCAAGAGCTGAACAATTCTGTTTGGGAAAGGGACCTAGTTTTTAACAACTCTATGCAATTCACTTACCATCTCTTGTTTTTATTTTCCTTCTTTATACAAAAATTGAACAAGATGTTCCTTTGGGTTATTTTAAGCTGTTATATTTCATTCTATTCTCAAGAGTAAAATTCTTGAATTCATGAAGGTATGACTTTCCTAACTTTGCATGGATTATAAACTTATTATGTGTCAGACTTCATGATAGACATTCTTTTTCAAAGTAGAGTTTATTTTTTTAGGGTAGTTTTAGATTTTCAGAAAAAAAATTTAGGTGATAAAAGAGTTCATTTATGCCCTGCATTGCAGTATCTTCTTTGTTTATATCTGACATTAGTATGGATCATGAACTCACTTAAGTCCATACTTTATTTAAGTTTTCTTTAGTCACCTTACATAGCTAACCTTTGAACAAAACAGGTTTGAACTTCATGGGCACACTTATACATGCATTTTTTTCAATAATTACATGTGTGGGAAGCAGCTACAGTGTTTTGGACAGGCTCAAGCCTTGGACTGTTGAGAGGGTACAATCGTCGCATTGCCATGTGCAAGTCCCAGCTTGGAGGGCAGAGCCCTCCCAGCACAATTATAGCCAACAGCTGTAGTTGTAAGCTTGAACCTATGGTCCAAACACATGGCCCCATGTGCCTGAGTGATGTAGGCTTGATAGAGTTCAGGTGCATGTAGTTGAGTAGGATTGAAACCCATGAGAATGTTGTAAACATCTTGATCACGCCCTTATTCTGCCTGGTGGCATCTGCTATAAAATAAAGACATGGCTTGTGGGCGTTGTCATTGTCTCTCAGAGAAGCAGCCTCCCACCGAGACCCAGCTTTCATTCTCTTGTCTTTTCTAAGCCTTTCAGCCGCCCCCACTCAGGTTCACCCTTGGCAATGCTGGCGCGGCACATACATGCAGTTCTGTAAATGTATTTTCTCTTTGTTATTATGTTCTTTATTAATATTCACTTTTCTCTAGTCTCCTTTTATTTCAAGAACAGAGTATACAGCCCATGTAACATAAAATATGTGATAATTGACTGTTGATGTTATCATTAAGGCTTCCAGTCAACAGCAAGCTATTAGTAGTTAAGCTTTGGGAGAGTAGTTAAGATTGGGGTTATGGGTTTTAGGGAGGAAAACCATGAAGATAAAACTATTTCATCACATCATATTAAGGATACATCATCAACTTATTTCTAACCTAATATTAATGTTGACCTGGCTGAGGTAGTGCTTGTCAGGTTTTCTCATTGCTCATTTTCTCCCCTTTCCATGTTGTTTTTTTAAAAGGAAGAAAATCACTATACATACCTCACACTTAAGGAGTTGGAAATGTTCCCCTTCCAAAAAGACAGTGTACCTGGATAAATTATTTGTAATTCTTCTACAAGATTTGTCTTGTCTCCCCAAGTTATTTATTTATTCATTCATTCATTCATTCATTCAATTATTTATTTATATCAGCATGGACTCATGGGCATTTATTTTATACTTTGGATTATAACCCATCCTTTATTTTGTTGCTCAAAACTGTCCAGGTTTGGCCATTTCTAATTCTTTCATTTGGCTCTGTTAACCCTTCAACATACCTGGTCAGTGGAGAATTTTGTTTTATTTTGTTTTGAGCACTTCCTAACTTAGACATTTCAGGCTGCTATAACAAAATACCATAAATTAGGTAGTTTACAGATTTAAAAAAAATACTTTTTTATCTTTAAAATGGAAGTCCAAGATCAGGGTACCAGCATGGTTGGATTCTGGTGAAACCCTCTTCTGGGTTATTGACAATTGACTTATCATATTATCCTCTAATGGCAGAAATACCTAATACTGCTCAAAAGCCACAATTCCAAATACTATGACACTGAGGATTAGATTTCAATATATAAATTTAGGTGGTAGGTACAAAGTTTAATCCATAACATTCCCTTACTTTCTAGCACCACATAATGATCCAGACCCACCTTACATAATTCCTGACCCGGTCCTAGAATCAATGATTTATCCAAGAAGCCCTGGTTCCTTTTGTTGGAGAAGGGGATTAGAAACCAAAATCTGGGTGCTAGATATACTTGTTGCTACTGGAGTGTTATTGAATCTAGGATTTCTCAGTTGACAGTAAGAACTATATTTGGCTATACTTCCCTGTGTACAATATATTTCTATATGTAATCATCTATTTCTATAGTAAGCTAAACATGAATTCATAGTGATGTCTCCAGCTCTGATCCTTTACCATACAGATCATTGCAGCTCTTCCCCTTGCTTATCTCTAACCTCTACACTTTATTTAGTTGTTCAATTCAAACACACACATAAACACACACACACACACACACACACACACACACACATTTTAGTTGTTCAGTTCAATTCACTCCCCCCCCACACACACGCACACATATTTATATATAAACACTGTTAACTCTTACCCCTATAGGGAACAGCTTCGTCAACTAAAGTACAGTGTTCAGGCACAGTTCTTTTTGCCTTAAGCATCATAGGCTCCACTGTTTTCCAAATTTATTTATATAAGCAGCTGTCTCTCTAATTTCTTCATTGAGGATTTTTTCATACAGTTGTAATATTGACAGATTCTTTTGTCACAATTTGGATTCTCCAATATGCTAATATATTTTAATATTTGCATACATTCGGGTTTACTCTTTGTGCTAAAAGTTTATAGTTTTTTTTTATAAATGCACATTATTTATTCACTATTACAATATCACACAGGATAGTATCACCCCCTCAAATAAACTGTTTTTAACTTATTAGCGGCTTCTTCCCTCTTCCTGAACTCCTGGTAATAACTAGACTTTTTTTAAATGTCTCTATTAGTTTTAACTTTCCCGGAATGTCATATAATTTGAATTATATAACCTTTCCAGTCTGTCTTCTTTCACATAGAAGTATGCATTTAAGGATGCTTTGTGTCTTTTTGTGGGGTGATAACTTATTTATTTTACCACTGAATGATATTTCATTGTATGAATGTACCACAATTTGTTTATCCATTCACTGATGAAGGATATCTTTGTTGTTTCTAGTTTGGTAAGATGTCCAGATCCTTTGCTCATTTTTTAAATGGGTTATTTGTCTTTTTATTGTTGAGTTTTAGGAATTATTGGTATATTTTGGATACCAGTTCTTTACCTGATATTTAGGGCAAGAGAGAGTGGGTGGTGCAATTCACAGGGATAAGCCTCACAAAGCAAAGCAGACCAGAGGATGGGTCTGAGTGGGGGATATTGCTGGCAAACAGGCTCCAAAAGAGCGAACAACCATCATGGATTGTTGTCATGCCAGTGCATACGATCTCTTTTTAAATTACAAAGCAATGAAGCTAACAGAATAAAAAGGTTAAAATTTAATTTTGAAAACTTCTTGAGCACTAATTCTACTATTTTGCTATTTTTTCCTAAATTCAAACTTATCCTATAGGCACCAAAATTTACATGGAATATGTAAACTTAGAAACTGACGTAATGTAAACATTACCTAAATCTATAAACTTTATTTCAAAATCAATTTGCATAATATGTAAACAAACAGGCTTTCAGTCAAAGTTTAATCAAGTTATTAAATATTAATATAAAACTGACATGTCTTCTAATTTGTGTAACTGCTACTGATCAAAAAAACCTTTAATTACTTTGTGATTTCAAACCTCATTTGTCTTCTTCAAGTAACTGGAAAATATTCTATAGATAAAAATTATAAAAGTCAATTTATGAAATGTACACTTACTTTTAAGCTTATCTCAAATAGAGAAAATACATTTTCAACCAATTATCTCTAAAGTTATTTAAACTCTTTCAAAAATTTATGTTAATCTTATTTAAGATTTTAAATACACTTAAAGATACTTCAATATTATTTGGCAAAAAATACTAGTATTTAAAATATTTAAACATTTCTAATAATATTTTCTGATATAAGTATGTCATAGTTTTGCCTTAAGATAAGGTAACCATAAAATTGTCATCCAAAGAAGTATAGTTTTAAGAATAAAAAGGGACAACAATAAAAATCATAATGATAATAATAATGAGACAATGTACATAAGCCTAGACCAAGAGTTAAATGTAACCTTAATTTTAAAAATGAGTAAAGCATTACCAAAATTACTCAAAAGTTTTCTAAATACCTAACATTAACTAGCACAAATATAAAAATCTATCATTTAGGGTAGATACCTAATAAACAATTTATTTACCAAACTGCTGATACTCACTTGATCTTATTAATAAAGGGTGAGAAACTAAATATAAGAGCATTTTTTATATTATGAAATTATTAAAAAATATATTGAAAATCTGTTAAAGGTTTTCCTGCTCCAAAATGATCACCTGACAAGTTTCCTACAAAGCTACAGTTAAACATTAGTTGCTTTTGTTTAAGGCCACATTTTCCACAGTCTGTTCAAAGCATGTCAGATTGTCAAATATTACTGGTTATGTCACAGTCTCCGGAAAATGTCCTACTTGGGGGTTAAGACCTTCTGATAGGGACATTTAATGATTGTTTTTCCTTTTTTGGAAAGTAAATGAGATTAATAGGCCTTACCTCTTGCCTGTTGTTTATAAGCAGGGGTAAGCCAAAGTGCCTCTTTCCAGAGATAAGATATGTATCTGCAAGAAGGAAGGAGAAAGAGAGTATTGTCTAAAAGATGGCCCCTTAAAACTCCTGTATTTAGAAATCATGTCTGTTTGATTGTTATAAAAGCAGGGGGATTTTTTCTTTTCTTTTTTTTTCTTTTTTTTTAAATAAGACAAAGCATTGCTGAACTTCACCACAGATGCACAATAACCTCGGGCTATCGAGATGGGGAAAATGGGCTTGGCCAATTTGGCTCAGAAGATAAGAGTGTCAGCCCATGGACTGAAGAGTCCCCTGGTTGGGGCCCGTGTGGGAGGCAACTAATCAACGTGTCTCTCTCACGTTGATGTCTCTCTCTCTCTCTCTCTCTCTCTCTCTCTCTCTCTCTCTCTGTCTTTCCCCCTCCATTCCACCTTCTCTAAAACTCCATGGAAAAAATATCCTCAGGTGCGGAATAACAAACAAACAAAAAAATGGGGAAACTATTACTAGTGAATAGTATCCAGAGGAAGTAGCTACTGAGGATATTTGCCAGGCAGGCATGGTCCTCAGTGGGGGAGCACAATTTGTACCTAGCATGGAGAGAACTGGTAAATGTTTTGGTAAACTATTGCTGAATAGCACAGCACCCCAAACTTAGTGGTTTAAAACAACTTTTTTACTATTGTTCATTTTTCCATAGTCTGAGTTCAGCTGGGTTGTTCTTCTGACCCACATGGTGTCAGGAAGGACAGTAGTTATCTGGAAGTTCAGCTAGGCTGTATGGTCAAAGATAGCTCATTCACATAGTTTCCAGCTGGTACTGTCTATTGGCATGAGACTCAGCAGGGTTCATGAACCATAGTGTTCTCCATGTCGCCTTTCTCCATAGATTTGTCTTTTCCCAGCATCGCTACTGGATTCTGAGGGGCAGCAGGAGGTAGAACCTACTTGTTGGATTCTCCAGAAGATCTGAGAAGTTTGTGGTACAAGTTGTTTATTAGGAATCAACACCTAAGGGGGAAGAAAGGTAAAAAATATAAGATTGGGTAATGGAAAGGCAAAAATCAAACTGTGATGCAGCTGACTTTCTTGCAGACATCACACATCAGGACAAAATGTCCAGACCTTTATACTCTTTTTTTATTTAGTCCTCAGGAAGGGCATGACCTCAGATAAACCACATTTCTACAGATGCTGAAGGAGCCAATACCTGGCATCTATCTGCTGTGCTGTCTTCATTATACACTGCTGAATAGCAAGTTCTTCCCTGAAGTCTGATCTGAGTAGCTCATCTTATATCTATCACATTTCCAATCACCTTATAGCCTGAGTATGTAAGTGCCAAAACTGCAGTCTCCCCAATTCCATGGCCATTTGACTGATCAGAGTTAGTAACAAAAGCAGGTCATATTCAAAGAAAGGGGAGATAAACTCCATATTTTATATTAGGAGTTGCATGCATATCCATCTAGAGGAGGAATTTGGAAAGGCACTCCAGCTTCTGCCCTCAGGCTGTAACAATTCACATACAAAGTACACTCACCACCTCCCAAGACCCCCCAAAATTTCCATCCCTTTATGGGATCAGCTCATATCCAAAGCTCTTATCATCTATATCAGAGCCAGAGGTAGATGGGGTGGGTTTCTGAAGTTCCTCAGGAATACCTGTGAACTAAAAAATAAATCACACCAAAGAAACCATCATCTGTCCCACACACACCCAACATACAATACTGATAAAAGGGCATGGCAGCCACAATGGAATCTTCCAGTATAAAAGGGTAAAACAGAAGACCCATAGCAATTCTGTAGTCTAGCCGGGAGGTTACCATTATCTCTGTCTCAAGGGAAAGAATTTTTCCTGATTAGGGACAACTTATGCTCCCTGAGAATGATTGCCATGGCTCGGCCTCCTGTTTCATCCTTCCTCTTCCGTAAGAAGTGGAATGTGTTTGCAGCTAAGTATTTTTCTCAGCTTGTATCCTGCTCATTGGAGATAAGAAACACAGAGGTCTTTTTCATTTAGAACTATCTCTGTCTCTTTTAGTTCAAACTGTTAAAATTTCTGTTAAAAATTCTGTCCTTCCTATGTAGCTATACTATATTTTTAAGACAGACTTTTTAAGACTCACTTCTCTCTACTTTGGCCTTAGAAACAGTGCTGTGGGGACAATATCATTAAGATTCCTGAAATCCCTCTTTTCTAGCCAAAAGGGCCTAAAAGGTACTTTCTTAAGATTCTTAGAAACTCTATTGTCTAGTTGAGGTCAACAAGGCAAGCCTTTAAGAATCTTAAAAGCCCTATTGTCTAGCTGAGAGGGTCTATGTGACAAATCCTAATCTTTCTAAAGGTTGAACAAAGTCTTTCCACCTCACACTTGAACTGATCTTCATGCTGTGGCTGTTTTTCTGGCAGAACTCTGGATTTGCTCTTTACCACAAAGCTTTAATTTACTCTGAAAATTTTTTGTGTGCTGAAAGAGTTGAATATGAGAATAATTTATGTTTCAACCAGGAAATCCTTATTCGAAATATTTCTTCTAGATCAGAAGTTGGTCAACTATGACCCAGAAGTCAAATCCACATTGTCACCTGCTCTTGTCAATTTTTTTTTAATTGGAGCACAGCCACATTTTTTCACTTACTAGGTGTACCAGTTAATAATGAGGATGTTTTTCAATAGTTGGAGTTACACATATGTTGATCTATATGTGCAGTTTGATATGCTTGCTATTTTGTTGTATTGACAGCAAGCTTCAAAACTTCATGTGTCAAATCTGCTGAAGGTGTTAACATCATAGATATTTTTACGCTTAAAAATGTCGAATTTCATGCCAAAAAAAGAGCATTTGCGGGAAGTTTTAATTCATTACTTTATTTTGAAGAAAAAGTTATTGTATATTTCGGGAAGCTTATAGTGAACGTGCTCCATCTCAAGATACTTATGAATGCTGGTTTAAATGCTTTAAAAGTGATGATTTCTATGTGAAAGACAAAGAACGTCCAGGTCAACCGAAATAGTTTGAAGACTAACAATTATAAGCATTATTGGATGAAGATGCGTGTCAAACTCAAAAACAACTTGCAGAAAGATTAAATGTTGCTCAGAGAACAATTTCCATTCTTTTACAAGCAATGGGAAAGATTTTAAAGGAAGGAAAATGGGTGCCACATCAAATGAACGAAAGACAAATGGAAAACCGAAAAGTCATCAGTAAAATGTTGCTTCGATGTCATGAAAGAAAAGTCTTTTTTGCATTGAATTGTGACTGGCGATAAAAAATTTGATTTATTTTGAGAATTCCAGATGCACAAAATCATGGGTTGATCCAGGTCAACCATCAATATCGACTGCAAGGTGTTATAGTTACAATTGTATTAGCCATAGGACCCCCCAAATTTGAATATTGTAAACTGTGTGAAGTGACATAAACAAACTCTGTACTTTCCCGAGTGAACGCCCAAACTTGTACCCTTAGAACACTGGTTCTCAACCGTGGCTGCACATTAGAATCACCTGGGAATCTTTTTAAAATCCTGATTTCTGGGCCTCATCCTTCGGAAATTCTGTTTGTTACTAATGTTGTAGCCCCACCCCATTACAAAGAAACAGAATTTCCGGAGGATGAGGCCCAGAAATCAGGATTTTAAAAAGATTCCCAGGTGATTCTAATGTGCAGCCAAGGTTGAGAACCACTGCACTAGAGACTGGTAATAAACCCCTGAGTGATTGCATACTAACTATTTGTCTCTGTGTTATGTTTATGACTGGGCTCGGCTGCCTCACACCTTAAGTTCCCAGAGGGACGCCATTATTGCTGACTCTGGGACACCTGCGCTTGTCCCAAGGCCGAGGCAATAAGTAATTATAGAATATTGGGGTCAACTGGGACACAAGGCCAAATTACTTCAGAAAGAGGACAATGCTTTACGTTTGGTGGGATCAGGAAGGTGTGTATATCAGCTTCTAAAACCAGGTGAAACCGTTAATACTGTTCGCTACCAACAACAGATAATCAATTTGAACCAAGCTTTGATCGTGAAATGACCAGTATAGGCCAGAAGACATGGTAAAGTAATTTTGCTTCAAGATAACGCACCACCACACAACCAGTTAAAGACACGTTAAAAGATCTTGCCTGGGAAGTGTTAACCCACCCGCCGTGTTCACCAGACCTTGCTCCTTCAGATTACCACTTGTTCTGATCAATGGCACACGCACTTTCTGAGCAGCTCTTCAAAATGTACAAAGAAGTAGAAAATTGGGTCTCTGAATGGTTTGCCTCGAAACAAGAAAAGTTCTATTGGGACGGTATCCACAAATTACCTGAAAGATGGGGGAAATATGTAGCTAGCAATGGACATTACTTTGAATAAAGCACTTTTGATGTTTCTCTTGAAATTATCATGTTTTCTTTGATTACAAAACCCATCATTAGTAACTAGTACACCTAGTATATATTTTCTATGCCTGCTTTTGCACTACAACTGCAGAGTTGCTATAGACACTATAGAGCCTGTAATTAGTAAAATATTTATTATCTGGCTTAATATAGAAAATGTTTGCTGACCTGTACTCTAGATACTGCTTGCAAATTGAATAGTTCCTTCTTTAGTTCATTTCACCCTACTATGATCATGTACACTGAAATAAACCAGTTGACACATAAACATTCTGCCTAGAAACTTCCTTAGCCAAATACACAAGTTCATATATTATCTTTTATATTGCCACAAGTTACTGAACTTTCCGAACATTCTCCCTGTACATAATTGGACAAAAACTCACCTCTTCTCCAGGCTCAACAATTTTCTCACTGTCTTACCAGCCTCCATTGGCGGTCTCCTTGAGGCTCTTGTGACCTGCACCCACTGCCTGGTTCCAAAGCCAAGGCTACATGTTTTAGGGTTTTGTTACAGTAGCACCTCATTTTGGGGTAACACATTTCTGTTTTGGTTATCTATTGCTGCAAAACAAGCCATTACAAAATTTAAAGTTTTAAAATGACAATTATTTTATTACCTTTAGTGATTTTATATGCTAATTTGGGTTAGAGGCCTTCTTCTGCTCTTCATGTCAGCTGGGGCTGTGATCATCTGGTGGCTCAATTGAATTTACAGAGAGGAAAGGAGAGGGATAGAGAGTTAGAAACACCGATGAGAGAGAAACATCAATCAGCTGCCTCCTGCATACCCCCTACTGGGGATGTGCCCAAACCAAAGTACATGCCCTTGACTGGAATCGAACCCGGGACCTCTCAGTCCACAGGCCGATGCTCTACCCACTGAGCCAAACCAGTCAGGGCTGAATTTAAATGGCTAAGATGGCTGCATTAGTTATTCATTGCTGTGTAAAATATTATTTCAAAACTTAGTAGGTTAAAACAATAAAAATTTATTACCTCACAGCTTTTCTAGATTAAGAATCTGGGAGCAGCTTAACTGATTGGTTTTGGCTCAGGGTGTCTCCTGAGGTTGCAGTCAAGCTGTCTACTAAATTGAAGTCATCTGAAGTCTAGTAAATCTACTTCGTGTGTTTTTAGGCAGGCCTCAGTTCCTCACCACAGAGGCATCCCCTTAGGCCGCCTGATTGTCCTCATGAAATGGCAGCTGGCCTCCTGAGTGAGTGACCTGAGAAAGGGCCATCGAGATGAAAACTACAGTGCAATTTATAACCTTTGAAGGGACTAACATCACTTCTGTGGTACTCAGTTGGTCATACAAACCAGCACTAGTACTGTATGGGAGCGGACTTCACAAAGATAGGAATAACAGAAAACTACCTTTATTGGGTGTCATATTGGAGACTTGCTGGCTACCATGAAACTCAGTCACGTGGCTGCTGATTAGTACTTGATGTAGTGAGTGCCTCTGCTTTCATATTTGCGACTCTTCCTTCTACCTGGGCTTCTCACTGCATAGAGGCTGATTTCCAAGAGGCAGCGAGTAGACGCTTCCAGTGCTCTTTGACCAGGGCTTAGAAATCCCAGAATGGCCTTCTGCTATATTCTAAGGGTGTCCTAAAATTCACGCAAGATTTGAATTTTACGCCATTTGTGCCGTAAAGTGTTGCCAATGAAGAAAAAAGATAGCGTGACAGCTGACAGTTCAGGGTTATTAAAAATGGAGCGGTACACAAAAGAACAACGTGTTTTCATTGTTGAGCAATATTTTAAAAATAATGAAGGTTCGGCAGCTACGGTTCGCAATTTTCGTGCAAAATATGGTCGGAATAGTGATTTAACTTCATCAACTGTGAAGAGATTATTTAAAAAATTTAGGGAGACTGGATCAATTAGTGATCTTAAACACTCTGGCCGTCCTTCAACAAGTCATTCAACACAAAACATCGAAGTAGTTCATTAGAGTGTTGCTGAGAGTCCAGGGACATCAATTTGGCACCGTGGTCAAGAATTGGACATTTCGAGAAGCTCTCTACAGCATATTCTCACGAAAGATTTGCATCTTCATGCTTACAAAGTTCAGTTGACTCAAGAACTGAAGCCTACTGACCATGCACAGCGAATAGAGTTCGTTGAATGGATTATGGAACAACAACAAAATTCAGCCACATTTATGCAAAACAGTCATGGAAAATTTCAACAAAAGATTGCATATGTGCCAGCAAAGACGTGGAAGCCATTTACCCGATATGCTATTCCATACATAACCCTATACTGTATCTTTTATGAATCAATAAAAAATTTACAATTTTTAATTATAAACTTGTGTTTTCTATCAAAATTACTTCTTGAATGAATTTTGGGACACACTTTATTTGGCGAAGCTAATCAAAGGCCATCCCACAATCAAGGGAAGCAGAAGTAAGCTCCATCCCTTGATGTGAAGTGTGGCATGTATTAACAAGGAAGGGAGGAATCGCTGGGGGATACCTTTGAAGACTAGCTAACGTAGGAAATGAATACCCAATTTTATTTCCCTTCTGTCTTCCACCCTATTGCAGGAGCTTCCCATTGGACTATTTTATCCAGAAGTCAGAGAGCAAGGATGTCCATTGAACCAGTCCCTAGAGGTCAGCCTCCTGGGCCACAAAGAGTATTTTGAAGGAGGATTTTGAAAATAAAACTAGAAGGGCAAAGAGAAAATCACCATCACAGTTTTGAAATATAGGTAGTCCCAGAGAAATTTTATTTTTCAATAATTATATAATTAAATAAAAACTTTTAAATATTTATAAAAGGAGCTTAACAGGATGGTTTTTGTAACCACTTCCTTCCTTTATGGCCTGGCCAAGTAAAGTTATAGAATTCCTTCATTTTGAAAATGTAACTATGTGTGCTACAAAATTTGGGAATCACATTAGTCTAGCAGACTATTGATATTACCATTTTTAGCTGAGAAGAGTTTTGAATAGAAATATAATGCTCTTAGTATGAACCCGTAGACATTTATGTTAACACAGCTAGAACAGCCACATTTTATCTTTTCCTTTATGATTACTAGCTTATTTTGGGTTCAGATTTACATTCCAGGTCCTTGCTAGCAAAGCCTAATCTGTGTTTCAGCCTGCCAAGTCCTAACCTACAGTTTCTCTCAGAGTGTCCCTGTAACTATATGTCTGCCTTTGACTGGGGTCCAGTTTGAACACAGATAGAGGAATTTCCATGACATTAATGTGGCCACTTTCTAGTACTACTACTAGAGTGCTTCCACCCATCAGATCATAGCCCATAGATAATGCTGCTAGCTCAGATCCCCCCTGATACTCTTCTATTGCCTCAGACATTACATCTGTGGTCACCCACATTGGAGTCAGCCCTCTAACTCCTGTTTCATTCAGGCCTGACTTAATCTCCTTTCTTTAATGTTCTGCCTTTGAAGAAAGCACTGTACTAGACCTTGTGCACTTCAATAAATGGAAAACTGGTATTTTAGCTGTGCTTTTGGCAGTGACAGTATTTTTTTATGACCATTTGAAAAACGAATGTTATATGGATGGTTACCTGTCATCTTCAAAGTTAACACCAGAGCTAGCAACATGGCATTTTGACATTCAGTGCTAACATCCTAAGTAAGAAATTTGTATTTTTATACTCTGTTCAAAACACTTTACCTATGGATTTGTATGCCCCTGACAGATTTTTCATAATGCAAAAAGCACTATTAAAGTGTTTTCACAGTTTGGTATATGTTTGAACTTGCAGCTTTCAAAAGACTATATATTTTCTATCATTTTTTTAAATATCTTCCATTAAGCTAAATGTTTCATATCATCGCTATAGCCAAGCCAGGGATGATCTAGATTGCCAATATTCCCTTACTCATTCAAGAACTTTCATTAGTCAGAAGCTAAGATGTGTTTTCAGTGGAAATGTCATATTTTAATACAGGATATGGTACAATTTCAGGTACAAGGTGTTTTGAAAACATTAATCTTCAAGTAAACTGGTATTATCACTGTTATTCCATAAACATAAAAATGAAAAAGAGCTAATAAGCAAATCGCCCAACATCTTGCAAAAATAAAAGTAGAATTAGAATATCATCAATTTCATATCCATCTGTGTCACTGGACAATAAAATCAGGCTTTTCTGGCTTTGTTTCATTAATTTTCTCTGCTCTATAGGATTTCATTGTATAAATATACTACAGTTTATTTATTCTTTTATATTTGATAGATTTTTTAAATTTTTTTTTATTACTACCCTAATGTTCTTGCAAAGCATTCTTGTAAATGGCTTCTTTGTGCACAGTCAATAGAGCAAAGGCTAACTAGTGGAATGGCTGGCTAATAAATCCATGCATGTTCAACTCAGTAATACTGTAGCAATCATAATGTGCTGGAACAACTTCCAAAATCTTAGTGTTTAAAACATCAAAGGTTTATTTCTTGCTTGTATTATGTTTTCATCTTAGATTGGGGTTGGGTAGGGAGAGTCTCTTCCACATTCTTCGTTGGGGAATGTTACCAGTTACCATGGAAGAGGGGGAAAACTTGGTTAATCATTCACAGCTCTTAAATCTTCCCCTTTGGAAATGATAAAGGTCATGTAGCCACGCAACTTCAAGGGGATAGTGCAATTATAACATTGAGAAGAAAAATCTCTGAAAGCCTGAATGTCTACTAATGATGACTACAAACTATTTTCAAAGTGATTGCTCCAATTTACACATCTACAAGAGAGGATGAGAGTTTCATTTCTTCATATCCTGCCAAGTCTGATATTGTTAGCTATTAGGACTTTTTAAATCTGATGAATATGACCCATCTCACTGGGGTTTTAATTTGCTTCTTCCTGATTAGTAATGAGACTAAGTATCTTGTCATAACTATATAAGTGTTTTGTACTCATACAAAATTCTTCTTTTGTAACATTTCTCTTGTTATTTTATCATTTTTCATTTAAGTAGTTCACATTTTTAAAAATAATGATTTGGAGGAGCATTTACATGTTCTAGTTTAATTCTGTGGCTTGTTTTTTTCACACTATTTAAGGTGTTCTTTGATGAAAAGATTTTTTTAATGTAGTAAAATTTATTAATCCTTTATTGTTTTTATATATTTATTTGTTTAGTTTCTTAATACTCACCTAAAGATATTTTTTCCACTGCCTTTTAAAGGTAGTGGAAGGGAGTGAGAGGGAGAGAGAGAAAGAGAGAGAGAAACATCAATGTGAGAGAGACACATGATCTGGTTGCCTCCTGCAAGCACCCCAGCGGAGGGCAGGGAACAAACCCACAACCCAGGTCTGTACCCTTGACCAGAAATTGAATCTGCAACCCTTTGCTCTAACCACTTAGTAACACTAGCCAGGGCTGGTTTTTATTTTTTATGTCTTATTTAAGAAATCTTTTCCTATCTGAAGAAATATACTCTCCTATATAGTTTTCTAAATGTTCTATAGTTTGACTTTCATGTTGATGTCTGTGGATAATGTGACATAGAGTTCCATATTTGCTTTTTTAAAATTTTTAAAAATTTTAATTTATTGTTTAAGATATTACAAATAGTAGTACATATGTCTCCTTCCCACCCCCCTCCTTTCCCCCTGACCCCCCCCCCACACTCCCCCCCTCCCCGCTTCCCCTACCCCCGGCGCTTGCCCTCGCCCCCCCCCCCCCCCCCACACACACACACCGCCCCCAGTGTCTTCTGTCTGTTGGTTGTGCTTATATGCATTCAAGTCCTTCGGTTGATCTCTTATGTATAGCTCTATACCCGTCAGGGTAGGTTATTGGTGGCTCTCAGCCAGGGGAGCATATTTTGATGCCTAGAGGACATTTGAAAATGTCTAGAGCAGGAGTGGGCAAACTTTTTGACTCGAGGGCCACAATGGGTTCTTAAACTGGACCGGAGGGCCGGAACAAAAGCATGGATGGAGTGTTTGTGTGAACTAATATAAATTCAAAGTAAACATCATTACATAAAAGGGTACGGTCTTTTTTTTTTTTTTTAGTTTTATTCATTTCAAACGGGCCGGATCCGGCGGGCCGTAGTTTGCCCACGGCTGGTCTAGAGACACTTATATTTGTCACAATGGGAAATAGGGTGCTTCTGGCATCAAGTGGGTAGAGGCCAGTGATGCTGATAAACACATCCTGCAATTCACAGACACATCCCAACCCACACACACATCAAAGAATATCCATCTCATTATCCACAGTGCTGAGGTTGGGAAAATCTGGATGAGCTTGTCCCGTGGTAGGAAACAAACCCCCAAGTCTTTTGACAATAAAGGTTATTTCTCCCTTACCTTCATGTGAA